CTGCAACCCCGTCCACCCCCTCCCTATCTCTGCAACCCCGTCCACCCTCTCCCTATCTCTGTCACCTCCCACAACCCTCCGCAATCTCTGCACTCCTCCCATTCCGGCCTTTCGATCCTTTCCCCAATTTGAGTCACCCTGCCGCAGGTAGCCATGATTTCAGCTGCAGGGTGGCAATCCCTCCATAAAATCCTCCATGTCTCTCACGCTCAACATCTTTAAGAGGATCGAATAAAGCCCCACACTCTTTGACCAAGCGTTTGGTCATGAGTCTTAACATCATCCCTGGTGTCGCAAACGAGTCTGATTGAAGGCCCTAGGGATGATTATTCTGTCTAAGAGGTGCTATAACAGTGCGAATCCCTCAATCTGAGGAACGGCGCCTTTGGGCGAGGGTTGGAGGGGCAGGGACCTGACAAATGCCCACAACTGAAAACAAAGATGGCCGACTCACCTTGGCACACAACGAAGATCTCAGCCGACTCGTTCCTGGAGGCCTGGGGCTTCGTGGCCTGAACCTTCCGGAAGAACTGCTGCAGGATCCAGAGGAGGGGCTGGTAATCCTTCGAGCGGAAAACCTTGGTGATAAAGTAGCCACCCTTGTTGAGGAACTCACAAGCCAGTTTCAGAGCCATCAGGGTCAGGTGGGCTGATGGAGGGGGAACGGAGTAGGAGGTGGGAGAGAGGAGGGAGGAAGGGGGTGTGGATGGACGAGCGGGATACGGGGGGGTGCAGAGAGAGGAGGGAGGGATGGGAGGTGGGGCAGATGGATGAGGGAGGGATGCGGCGGAAGGAGAGGGGGTGGAGGGAAGGGGGTGAAGGGGTGGGAGGTGGAGGAAGGTAGGGTAGATGGAGAAGGGGCGGAGGCAGGAGGGGGTGGAGGAGAAAGGAGGAACGAGGGGGGTTGCGAAGGAGAGAGGTAGGTGCGAGGAGGCAGAAGTGGGGGAGCGAGGGCGGGGTAAGGAGGGAGGTAGGCGCGAGGGGGCAGAGGTGGGGAAGCGAGGGGATGGGGGAGGGAAGAATGAGGGGGATGGAGGAGCAAGGGGGCAGAGGGAGGGAGGAGGAGGGTTGGACGGAGGGAGGGAGGGAGGGAGGGAGGAGAAGGGGTGGAGGGAGCGAGGGAGGGAGGGAGGAGAAGGGGCAGAAGGTAGAGGTGGGTAGAGGGAGGAGGGAGACAGAGAAGAGAGGGAGTGGTAGAGGTAAGGGCCGGAGGGGACAGTGTGAAACAGAGAGAGTTCAGTATATTAATAATGTTTATGAATATACTGATTGAGGATGTGAATAGAGTCTCACTCCTCCATGTTTAATACACGCGCTAATGCACCAGACTACAGCCTGCCTTATGCCTCACAATCCAGCCCCTCGGCTGTCCTGGGCGCCTGACGCAGGGAGAGCAGGACCTCCACAGAGGAGCCAGCCCTCCTTCCCCCCACCCCGTCTCCCTCTCCCCCTCTCTCTAATCCCAAATCACAGCTCACAGGCTGCTGCTTATCTTCAGCGAGCGTGTGGATATGAAGCACCATTCCTGCCTGTGAACCTGCAGCAGGTCCCCAGCGGGAGACCCTCTACCTGGCAGCACCCCCCCCCCCACACCCCCCCACCTCCTTTCGCGTTAGGGACCAGGCATGCTGAGTGCCCAACTACAGAAGGTGAAAAGCCCTCTTTTTAATTTCATTCAGAGAATGTGCCATGACTGGCTGGGTCAGCAATTTATTACCCATCCCTAATTGCCCCAGAGGGGTGTTCAGAGCCAACCCCATCGCTGTGGGTCTGGAGTCACACGGAGGCCCAGACCAGGTAAGGACGGCAGTTTCCTTCTCCAAAGGCCATTAGTGAACCAGATGGGGTTTTCCGACAATGGGTCATCATTCGACTTTTAATTCCAGACTTTACCGAATTCAAATTCCACCATCCGCCACGAACCCAGCTCCCCAGAACATCACCCGGGTCTCCAGAGTATCCCATGAGGCCGTCGCCTCCCCTTTCACAGGCGGAGAAAGGCCGTTCAGCCCATCGAATCCGGCCGCCTGGCTTCTCACGGTCCAGCGCTTTCTGACACAGCAGAGCTCGCTTGTGCGGGATCTTGCCGTGCCCTCTCTCTCCGAGGTGAGGTCAGGCACCCTCCGCTGTGCTCTGTGACCATGGCCACATGGCTGTGCTCCAGCCATGTCAGGCCGGGCACGCCAGGGAGAATCCGTCTCGCCCCAACCTCACCCTCTGACGTGGAGGTTAGGAGGCGCGAGGAGCATGGCGCAGTCACCCAGAGGGTTCAGCGTTAGGGAAACCCCCTCATGGCCAGGCTGCGGGGCTAGAGGTCAGGGAGACAGCCCCCTTAACTGCCTGGTGTTAATGGGGAGGGTTCAGGAGATACTAAGGACATCTCTGACAATCTCCACCCCTCCCACAACCACGGAGAATGGCATTCAGTCTGCTCCCACAAAACATCTCTCCGGCGATGCCCACCTACCCTGGGAATAGGCGTCGTGCAGCCAGTTGGCCCCCACGTTAGGAGCCCCATCATTCAGCACCACGTCGACCTTCCAGGTCTGCAGTTCCTTCCGCAGGGCCTGTGGAGCACAGCAGGGCAGGGTCAGGAAGATCGACTGGGGGTGGGGGGTGAGAAATTGAACATGAACCACTGTCCCCTCCTGATAACCCCCAGCCCTGAACTCCCTACCCCCCAATCCACCCTAAGCTGCACGTCCCTGGACACTATGGGGCAATTTAGCACGGCCAATCCACCCTAACCTGCACATCCCTGGGCACTATGGGGCAATTTAGCATAGCCAATCCACCCTAACCTGCACATCCCTGGGCACTACGGGTCAATTTAGCACGGCCAATCCACCCTAACCTGCACATCCCTGGGCACTATGGGACAATTTAGCACGGCCAACCCACCCTAACCTGCACATCTTTGGACTGTGGGAGGAAACCAGAGCACCTGGAGGAAACCCACGCAGACACGGGGAGAATGCGCAAACTCCACACAGACAGTTGCCCGAGGCTGGAATTGAACCCGGGTCCCTGGCGCTGTGAGGCAGCAGTGCTAACCCCTGAGCCACCGTGCCGCCCTTCAATTAAGCGTCAAACACCAGCACGGAATACAGAGACATCGTATGCTACAGTGTATGACTAATCTCTCCAGTTTCAGTCAGGGACACCAAAAATACCAGAGAGCAGATAGTGAGAGAACAGTAGCGTCCAGTTTTCCTGGACCAATACTCCAAAGTACAGCAGTGCAGGGTAATGTTACATGGTCAATAAATCATAATATGGCGTAAGGAGCAGATTCAAAACAGACTGAAATCTGAATATTTAACCAGGGTCCTTCTGCAAGTGTGACATGGCTTTAACGTCAATGTGCCCATTCTAAATTGTGTGCATTCTTTCTGCTCTCGCAAGCAGAGGTGGTGGGAGTCTTCAGGGACGGTGCTGAGGAACACACAAGGACTTGGCTGAAGGGATTAAACAACATGCAGGGAGAGACAATAATCGCCCTGACTTACCTGGCGACATTTTTCTGTAGTGATATCCTCTTGCAGAGTCACAACATTGGGAATCGGTTTGATGGGGACAAGATCAACACCTGGAAAACAGAGCAACAGGAAACATATCTGTCCTGGGAGCACTCGATGCTGACACTGGGTATAAAGTGGGGGGAGCGCTCGATGCTGACACTGGGTATAAAGGGGGGGGGGGGACACACTGTCAGGGCTACAATGGATTGGTCAAAGACTATTTTCCTTTCACTAAACCATGTTGCCTCAACCTGACTGCCCTGAATTGCTCCAAGTGCTTTGCTAGAATTCCTTTCGTGAGAAATTTCTTTTTTTGAGATTCCAGAACTTCTTTGCTACATAATTCTCAGACGATTCAGGCCCGAGCGGCAGAGAGGCGGTAAACAAACGGAAAAACGAGCAGCTCACGAGTCTCGTTAATAAAATATCTGAAGCACTCACCAATGACCAGGCTGGAAACAGGCATGAAGTTGGCTGCAACTTGGAGCCTGCGGCAAAGGGAAAAAACAAATATATCAGACAGGATGTCCTTAGTCCCAGCCGTTGCGGCTAAACGTCGGACCCAGATCTTGAACAGCAACCGCGTACGTTGTCAGGTGCAGGTCTGTTTGTAACATCTTTCCCGGGAGACAGAGGTCCAGATGGTAGGAGGTTCAAATCACACACCACAGACCTTTCTACGATGATTTATGGGATGTGGTCAGTGCTGCTGGGCCAACATTTATCGCTACTAACTGTTACCAGAATGGATCGGCGCTTTGGTTTATTTCAGACATAAGTTAAGACTCAAGAACGTTGCCATGGGCCTGGAGTCACATGTAGCACAGGCCAGGTGAGGGGGGCAGATTTCCTTCCTCAAAAGATGTAGTGAACGAGATGGGTTTTCACGTCAGACCACCTTTATATTTCTAAATTTCTTCAGAACTCACCGTCTGCCATGGAGAGATTCAACCAATGATTTGCCTTGGTTCCTACATGGATAGTTCAGTGGAATTGCCACAACTCCATCCTCTTCTGTACTGCGCCAAAATCCAGACTGAGGGAGCGCCACGCCGTCGGAGGGTCGGCGCCGAGGGAGCGCCGCGCCGTCGGAGGGTCGGCGCCGAGGGAGTGTTCTTTATTGTGTCCTGGGTATGAGTTGTCATCCAGCCTCAAATGCCGTCAGGAGCAACTGACGACCTACGCCGCTCATCATTGTGGGATCTTGCCATGTAACTTTTCCAGCATTCCACAAAGTGCTCAGCCAGCTAACACATTGAGATATCCTGGTATCACCAAAACATTTAGTGGTGTTTCGAACCTGAGTCAGAGGCCGGGTCACTTCATATCGCGTTGGAGATTGCCCCATGTTCACTGCGACACAATAGTTACCCCTTTTGTAAACCTCCTTTGAGCCTGCCTCCCCTCTACACCCTCAGGCAGCACTCTAACCCCTCGCTGAGTGAAAAGGTGTCTCTGTTGCTCCCTTTCATCAATCCCCTTCAACCTATGTCCCTCTGGTTCTCCACCTTCCCACCAATGGGTAACAGATTCTCCCTCTCTGTGGAAGATGATCAGACCCTTTGACACAGGAAGCAGAAGTAGGCCATTCAGCCCATCAAGACTGGTCTGCCATTAAGTGAAATCATGGCTGATCCGATTACCTTCGATCCCACCCTCCACTTTTACCCCGTCACCCTCGATCCCCTTACTGAACAAAAATCTATCTCTGCCTTGAATATACTTGACGTTCCAGCCCCCTCTGTGGTAAAGAGTTCCACAGATTCTGAGAGAAGAAATTCCTCCTCATCCCTGTCTTATATGTAGGACCCCTTATTCTGAGACTGTACCCACTGCTCCTGGACTCTCCCACCAGGGGATATAACCTATCCACATCATCCCCGTGAATACCCCCGAGAATCTTCTACGTTGAGATTGGTTGGCTCGCTGAGCTGGTTTCTTGTTCTGCAAACATGTTATGACCAATACTCACTCATATCAAGCCAGATGGATAAGGAGAACCACCAATTCAACTGGGACAACACCAAAATCCTGGGACAAGCCAAGCAGAGACAGGCACGGGAATTCCTAGAAGACTGGCACTCCGCGAAGAAAGCCATCAATAAACACATTGAACTCGACCGCATGTACACTCCACTACGGAGGAAAACCGGAAGTGAGGCAATCCAGCTCAACGGACTCCAGAGTTTAAAAACCAGGCGGGACAACACACCAACGCTTCATCAGAGGCTGCACTGATGATGTTACCCAGCATGGTAACAAAACGTCTGCGGAACAACAAACCAGCTCGGCGAGCCAACCAACCTCAACACCCACAACCCGAGCTACAGATCTACTCCAAAACCTTAGAATCTTCTATGTTTCAATAAGGTCGCCTCTCATTCTCCGATGAGTAAAGGCCCAACCTACTCACCCTCTCCTCATCCCTCCAAGCCCAGGATTTCTCTGCCCAGCCCCGCCATGATTTCAAACCCCTCGATCCAACTTCCCTTCTCTGAGGAAAGTGGTTTCTCCGATCTATCCCCATCACTGAGGGCCCCCATTCCCCTCAGACCTTTCTGGTCCACCTTGACCTCACTTGCGTTCTCACCATCGTTTATCGTCTAGCTGAACGCATGGTGGCCCAGGACTGGGTACGGCGCTCCAGCTGGAGTTTGACACCGGCGGCTCTCGCGCACGGTCACCGTGTGCCTCCGCGGCTCTTTCCTGGGCTCGATTACTCAAGCACGCTTTCGAACACACTCACCATCCCCCCGGGGCGGCGCAGAGGTCCAGGAGAGCGCGGGCACGCTGCAGGAACTGGAACTTGCGGTTCAGCTGGATCAACTTGAATGCCGACCGGGAGCGGTAACCTGGTGTGGAGGAGACAAGCGACAGATGTGAACCGTCTTGGGCTGTTTAAACCCCAAGGGGAAACCGTGTCCGACTTACCCTCTTCCTCCCTGGAATTATGCTACATGGGCTCCCTCCCTGTTTCCTGCTCCAAGGCGATGATTTACATAAGGAGGCCGCTCGGCCCCTCGAACCTGCTCTAGCGGGCGGGGGAAGGGACGGGGTAACAACCTGACGAGATCAGGGTCACAGCTACAGTGCTACCATCTTGTCAGTCACGTTGTTCGAGCGAGGAGAAATGTGCAGCGGATTATTAATAATCTTGGAGCATTTAGCGGCTCTCGTGGTAGTGTCCCTACCTCTGATTCAGGAGGCCCAGGTTCAAGTCCGTCTAGCTCTAGAGATGTGTTCACAACGCACCTTGAACAGGCCAATAATGAAACGTCCGCCTGTAAATAAGCAGCTGCCATGACAGTGAGTATAGAACGAAAGCTTAGACACTCAGCAAGTCAATAAACTTCTCAACCTCACCCGAGGTGCAGTGACCCTCGGCTTGAACACAGCACCAGTCATAGAGAAAGACCCTTCAGCCCATCAATTCTATCAGACACCTCACTACTCTAGTCCCACTTTCCAGGGCTTGGCCTCTAGCCCGTCTGCTTTGGCAACGGCACTTGTACAGCTAAATCCTTCCTCAATGTGATGAGGGTTTCTGCCTCTCCCATCCTTATAGACAGTGAGTTCCAGACTCCCATCACTCCCTGGGTGAATTTCTTTGTTCCCCTCACATTTCCTCGAAACGTCCTGCCTCTTAAAAAAATCTACGATCCCTGGTCGTTGATTCCTCCGTCAAGAGGAAACGTTCCTTCCTATTTACCCTAAACATGCTTATCATAATTTTAATCGCTTCTGCTGTAAGGAAACAAAATCCCCAGCCGGTCCAATCTTCCTTCATGTCTCCCTTTAATCCCCAGCCCAGTGCCCGCTGACCCAATTCCACCTGACCCCTGTGCCCCACCCTACCCCATGACCCCAGAACCCAGTCGGTGTCCCCAATTCTATTGTCCCAGTGACCCCAGACCCCCAGTACCCTGACACTGTTGGTGACAACTGACCCTATACCTCATAGTGCCCATGATTCCCGTCCCCACAACCCAGTCCCCAACAGTGCCTCCCATCCC